AATTGTTAATGATTTTAAAGTTTCAGGGGATTTTTAAGGATAATTTTAATTGATCGGCCTATTTAAATATTTCTTTTTAATTCGGCTTTTAATTATTGTATTTGTATTGTAGTTTTATGAGGCTGTTAGCCGCCCTGAGTCCCATGAGGAGAAGGGCGGGGTATAAATTAAATTATAAATAAATAAATAAATAAATGTCAAAATTACCTTTTTGTTCTCTCCTATATAGGTTTTTGTTTTTAGTGAAATGTATTCTTATATAATTACAACCTTAGTTTATTATTATCAATCTCTTCAGAAAAAAATTACCTTGAACAAATTTGACATAAAGACTGAAGAGAAACCGCAGGCATATAGCTTAAGGCAGCATTGTATCGCAGCAAAAGGAATGTCAATACTTCAAATCTATAAAAAAAAGGATTATGGTTAATTCAAAAGTGTCATTAATCATGCAAAAAAACCATTTCCTGTTCATTGATCATAGCAACAATATATATAGGCCATGTTTTTAAAACACTGCATTTGTTAAATATTAATTTATGAGAAAATAATAATTTGGAAATGCCCAGATTACTTCTTTAATCTTTATAGTTGAAAACAACATCATGCATTTTACCTGTTTTGAGCTGTCAACATTTCTCTCTGCATATGAGGTCCACTATATACAACCTTGGATAAGCCGTGTTGAGATAAAGCACCCTCAGTAAGAGCCATTGAACCAATACTGGAAGGCTAAACAAAATAGTTTTTTTTCAATATATTGCTTAAGATGGCATTAGTAATTTAAAAGAAAAAGAAAAAGAAAGAAGAAAAAGAAAACAGTAAGCAGTTTATAACATCAATAACTTTTGGCCAGTCATTCTCTCATCCCATATCTTTATTTTAACTGATCATATTTCAAAGCGTGAAAATATCAGTGGAGAAAACTAAATACAACAACAAACAGCTTTCAAATACCTTCAAAGTTGTTCTCTAAGAATATTTTATTCAAATCTATCCTACTTTTTAACTATATTAAATAAATATTCCCCAATTGAGTATATTTGTCCACACAATACAAATATCTTTCTGGGAAGTAATATGGATATAGATTTTTAAAATCTTTGTAAGTAATAAATTATCAATGTATATTTAATTTCAATGAATACAGTGGATATAAAAAGTCTATACATCTCTATTAAAATGCCTGGTTTTTGAGATGTAAAAAAATCAGATCAAGATAAATCATTCAAAATTTTTTCCATCTTTAATATACAATGCATTCAGAAAGTATTCAGATCCTGTTCATTTTTGTCAATTTTGTTATACTGCAGCCTGATCCTATAGTTGTTGAAATTCATTTTTTTCTCATTAATCTACACTCAGTACCCCATAATGACAAAGTGGAGACAGAATTTTAGAAATGTCTGTAAATTTATTAAAAAGAAAAAAACTGAAATATCACATTGGCATAAGTATTCAGACCCTTTGCAACAGCACTTGAAATTTAGCTCAGGTGCCTCCTATTTCTCTTGATCATTGTTGACATGTTTCTACATATTGATTGGAGTTGACCTGTAGTAAATTAAATTGATTGGATAGGATTTGGAAAGGTACACCTCTATATAGAAGGTGACAATGCATACTGTAGCAGAGCAAAAGCCATGAGGTCTAAGGAACTACCTGCAGAACTCACGAGACAGGATTATTGCAAGGCACAGATCTGGGGAAAGCTACAATAAAATTTCTGTTGCACTGAAGGTTCCTAAGAGCACAGTGGCTTCCGTAATTCTCAAATGGAAGACGTTTGGTACAACCAGGACTCTTCCAAGAGCTGATTGCCCAGTCAAACTGAGCAATCGGGGGAGAAGGCTTTAGTAAGAGAGTGACCAAGAATCCGATGGTCACTCTGTCTGAGCTCCAGAGATCCTGTGTGGAGATGGGACAGAGTTTCAGAAGGACAACCACTGATTTGGACTTTATGGCAGAGTGGCTAGATGGAAGCCTCTCCTCAATGCAAAACACATGAAAGTCTCTTTGGAGTTTGCAAAAAAGTACTTGAAGGATTCTCAGACAGTGAGGAAGAAGATTCTCTGGTCTAATGAAATCAAGATTGAACTGTTTGGCCTCAGTTCTAAATATTATGTCTGGAGGAAACCAGGCACTGCTCATCACCTGCCCAATATCATACCAACAGTGAAGTATGGTGGTGACAGCATCATGCTGTGGGGTTGTTTTTGAGTAGCAGGGACTGGGAGACTGGTCAGGATTGAGGGAAAGCTGAATGGAGCAAAGTACAGGGATATCCTCAATGAAAACAGTGTTCAGCACCTCAGACTGAACCGAAGGTTCACTTTTCAAAATGGCAACGATATGAAGCACACAGCCAAGTCAACACAGGAGTGGCTTAGGAACAACTCTGTGAATGTCCTAGAGTGGCCCAGCCAGAGCCCTCACTTGAACCCTACTGAATATCTCTGGAGGGACCTGAAAATGGTTGTCCACTGATGATCGCCATCCAACCTGACTGAGCTTGAGAGGATTTGCAAGGAAGAATGGCAGAAAATCCCCCAATCCAGTATGCAAAGCTTGTCATGTCATACCCAAAAAGACTTGAGGCTGTAATTGCTGCCAAAGGTGTTTCAACAAAGTACTGAGTGAAGGGTTTGAATACTTATGCCAATGCAATATTTCAGTTTTTTCTTTTTAATAAATTTATAAACATTTTTAAACTTCTGTTTTCAGTTTGTCATTATGAGGTACTGAGTGTAGATTAATGAGAAAAAAATGAATTTCAACAACTGTAGGATTAGGCTGCAGCATAACAAAATTGACAAAAGTGAAGGGGGTCTGAATATTTACTGGATGCACTGTAACATACAAACAGTACAATTCAACTGAAAAGCAATCTGAAAACTTTTAGAGGGGAAAATAACAACAAAAAAACTACAACAACTTGCAGTCACATGATCATCATTCAGGTTTTTGTAAACTGGCATGTATTTACAATCATTGTAGCATCCTGAGATCACATGATTGCCATTTCTGATTTTCTCAGGGGGCTTCAAACAAGAAAGTCAATGGGGGGAAGCTGAATTCACTTAACCATAGCAAAAGAAATCATAAAATCAGGCGCAGTCAAATGATGACTCACTGAACAACTGAATTGTTTAGCAGCAGAAGTTCCAGAACCTACCCCCAGAAAGAATTTGTCTCCCCACCCAACTAGAAATGGAAATTATAGTGTAAGTCCCCATATTTTAAAAGATCTATGTGATATGGCCAACTTACTTTGTGGTTCTTTTCTGAAAATGTAAATGCAGCCAAAGAATGCCCACTACTATTTTCGATGACAAAAGGCCAGATTATATTCTTTTAAGGGAGACTAGAACAAAGCTATAAACATTGTATAAAACTAGAATACTTTTAAAACTTACTTCATGATATATTGAAGGTTTAGATAAAGATGGAATTGTAAAGCTTAGGATCCTACTATTCCCCTGTTTGTCAACTATTTCCTATGAGGAAAATAATCAAGTTATTCATATGCATTTCATAAATTGTACACCAACAAAGCGGAACATAAGCTCCCAAATCATGCCATAATGTTTATTATAAGCAAAGATGGAAATTTATGTTATGTCTATAATTACATACATAATTTATATGTAGCAAAATCTAAACGTATTATTTATTTAATCAAATGTACATAATACCCATCTCGTTCACAGAGTGATTGTGAAAACTTAATTCTTTACCTCCAGGCATTTAACTACTGTGCACCCTTTGAGTCATGTATAGTATTTTATTACTTTGTAAGAAATCATTAAAAATCATAAGACAGTAATCTTGTGTGAAATAATATGAAAGAATAGCTGCAATGTGTTTTCATTTATTTATGAAATAAATACTATTAAAATGCTACAAAATATACCACTTAAAATTAGGGATTATTACTTTAAAATGTTTTTGAAAGCAATATATCTAGTTCTATAAGAATAATTTCAGAGACCGTTCATGCATTTAAAAGAGTAACTAAATGCATTAGATTATTAGTATATTCTAATAAAATGCTCTTTAGGTTTTTGGGTGGCATTATTGATATTGCTCTGCCTATTCAGAGCTTATTAATTAAACTCACTGCTCCAGAAACTGGTATTTATTGTTTTCTACCTAGCATTTAATGCAATTGTCTCTTGAATCTCTAGACTTTCTGAAACTTGTTTTCTCTTCTAGATATATATTTACTACACAAAGAATAACTTCATGCATAATAACTTCTGGCCTAAGAAAGCATATAGCCCAATAAAAGTTTCAAGAGAGCTTTTACATTAATAGTAAAGATATTGTTCTAAGTGCAACTAAAAGTTTTGAATCAGCAGTTAAATTTCCTTATTTTTACAGAATCAAAACATTATACATTTAAACTTTATATATGCCAGCAACACTGGTATATGCCAACAAATACTGGTAAAAAGAATTGAATACCTTTAACGCTACTGTCATGGGTGTTTTCAGGACATTATCATAGACAGCATTATATACAATAAACCATAAGTAATTATATTACTACGGTACTAAAGATAATATATTATCACTAGTAATATAATTACTTTTTGTTTATCAGTACAAACTTTGTAACAAAGTACAGAGATAACATTAATTACCAGCAAAGAGGTTCTGTCTCCTACCACTTTGAAAATGAAATTATTGAACTTATACCATATACTACAGCGAATGAAAATGTCAGAGCATACAATGGTATGAATCCATTCTTCCTCATTCATATCTATTAGTAGAAATCATTTATCATTTATATATACCCATCTGCATTCATACCCAGTTTCTGCACATTCAAGCAAAAAGACATATTCTATATACTTGGGAATCCTCCTCCTCTATTTCCAAAGCAAGCATATACATACATACATACATACATGCATACATACATACATACATACACACACACACACACACACACACACACATACATACACATATATATATATATTACACAGAAAAAAAGAAATTTGGATATAAAAATATTTCGCAGTTGCGACTTGAGCCTGCTCTATGCCCCTAGTTGGGGGCGGCAAGGCAAGAGATACTGTAAAAAGAGTAAAACTGCAGTATGCAGTTGAAAATGTCAAGGTGTTCACAATCAGACTGATCTGTCTGAACTCCCTATAATTACTCCCTTGACTCTGCTGGCAAAAGAGGGGAAGAGAACCTGTGGCTCAGTGACTAAATCACTGCCTAGTATGTATAACTTTCCAGGTTCGAATCCCATAAAGGGTATGGCTAACTGATGAAGGCAAAAAAGCCAGAAATGGTCCATCTTAGTCTCCCAAGTTAATTCTTTACTCTTTGTCAGAAAAAAAGAAATTTGGATACATATACATATATATATATACACACATACATCCTATTGTAGCACTGTGCCCATAAATATCCAATTTTCCTCTGAATTCTGTTTTTCACACGACAGAAACATTGATGATTGTGAAAAAAAATCTGCAAAATAAAAAAAGGCAGAAACCTACGTCCAGACTCATTTATTCCAGAATGAAATTGTAGCAAATTTTCTTATATAAACATTCTCATGGACTCTGGACATCTCATAAGCATACTCAACAGTTTCACATATGAACTACGCCACCATTGTCAGAAAATCTTAATGGGTAACCATATAACACAAAGAATAATTAAGAATCAAATTTTTGATACCATCCATTTCAAGCTAATTCTTTCATCCAACTATACTAAAATTGAAAAAAGCAATTAGCATCATTCAACATCATCATGTTCCTATTCCAGATTTTTAATATTTGTCATTCATAAAAAAATATAGTCACTTATACCAATGTCAACATGACCGAAAGTTGCTGTGGTTAAAAGAACCTACAGTGAGGGGAAAAAATTATTTGATCACCTGCTGATTTTGTACGTTTGCCCACTGACAAAGAAATGATCAGTCTATAATTTTAATGGTAAGTTTATTTTAACAGTGAGAGACAGAATAACAACAAAAAAATCCAGAAAAATGCATTTCAAAAAAGGTATACATTGATTTGTATTTTAATGAGTGAAATAAGTATTTGACACTTTTGCAAAACATGACTTAGTACTTGGTGGCAAAGCCCTTGTTGGCAATCACAGAGGTCAGATATTTCTTGTAGTTGGCCACCAGGTTTGCACACATCTCAGATTTTGTCCCACTTCTCTCCAAGTCATTAAGGTTTCACGGCTGACCTTTGGCAGCTCGAACCTTCAGCTCCCTCCACGGATTTTCTATGGGATTAAGGTCTGGAGACTGGCTAGGCTACTCCAGGACCTTAATGTGCTTCTTCTTGAGCCACTCCTTTGTTGCCTTGGCCGTGTGCTTTGGGTCATTGTCATGCTGGGATACTCATCCACGACCCATTTTCAATACCCTGGCTGAGGGAAGGTGGTTCTCACCCAAGATTTGACAGTACATGGCCCCATTCATTGTCCCTTTGATGCGGTGAAGTTGTCCTGTCTCCTTAGCAGAAAAACACCCCCAAAACATAATGTTTCCACTTCCATGTTTGACAGTGGGGATGGTGTTCTTGGAGTCACAGGCAGCATTCCTCCTCCTCCGACATGGTAAGTTGAGTTGATGCCAAAGAGCTTGATTTTGGTCTCATCTGATCATAACACTTTCACCGAACTTTCCTCTGAATCGATATTCATTGGCAAACTTCAGACAGGCCTATACATGTGCTTTCTTCAGCAGGGGAATCTTATGGGTGCTGCAGCATTTCAGTCCTTCACGACATAGTGTGTTACCAATTGTTTTCTTGATGACTATGGTCTCAGCTGCCTTGAGATCATTGACAAGATCCTTCCTTGACACTTATTTTGTGTTTCTTCCATTTGCAAATAATCGCACCAACTGTTGTCACCTTCTCACCAAGCTGCTTGGCAATAGTCTTGTAGCCCATTCCAGCCTTCTGTAGGTCTACAATCTTGTCCTGACATCCTTGGACAGCTCTTTGGTCTTGGCCATGGTGGAGAATTTGGAATCTGATTGCTTCTGTGGACAGGTGTCTTTTATACAGGTAACAAGCTGAGATTAGGAGCACTCCCTTTAAGAGAGTACTCCTAATCTCAGCTCATTACTTGTATAAAAGATACCTGGGAGCCAGAAATCTTGCTGAATGATAGGGGATCAAATACCTATTTTACTCATTAAAATGCAAATCAATTTATAACTTTTTTCTGGATTTTTGTTGTTGTTATTCTGTCTCTCACTGTTAAAATAAACCTACCATTAAAATTATAGAGTGATCATTTCTTTGTCAGTGGGCAAATGTACCAAATAAGCAGGGGATCAAATATTTTTCCCCTCACTGTAATGATATCAAAAAATGAAATGTAATGACATCTAGGGCCTTTTGGGGGATTTAGTAACATAAATTGTTGAATGAATGAATTCTAAGTCTAGATACAAACCAAATTGTAAACTCCTAGTAGAAGTGCTTCTATGCAGCCACTGCTTTGCAGGTCTTTACTAGCAGAAACAGCAAGATAGCACCATATTAATTCTGGAAGGAACTGAAGTGTGAACTGCAAAAGAAGTTCCTCACCACTGCGATAAAATTCAAATAACTGGTGACAGACTGGTTCCAGCAACTGAAAGAAAAAGAAGCATTAAACATTTGGCAATGTTTAAATATTCACTGTAAGATGCATTTTCTCACTACTTCAAAAGATTCCATTTGTTAAGTATTATATTGGTTCCCAGTATTTAGTATGCCTCATTTGTTTATCTTATTCAGCAGATGTAAACTTTGCATAGAAGATGGAAGAAAAAACCCTTTTTAATGTGTGCCTTTAATGTATATTTCACTAGGAATATAGCAAGAGAAGGAATTGGATCCTCATTGCTTAAAATTGTAATAAGTACCATCCTTCCTGAAGACTTTACTTTTTTTGAAAAGATGCACGTTATAATTGTATTCAACTTCAAAACAGCTCAAGATAAAAGCACATCATTTAGAAATTAAGTTTCTAATTTTCATGGCTGTGTAGAGCAATATCAACAAACATTTAAGACCTAAAAGAATATTTTGAGTATATATATTCTATTTTTTTATATTCTATTTTTATAGTTATAAAAAGTTATATTCTATAGTTATATTCTATTTTGTTTACTTTATTATTATTATTTATTTTTCTATATTATCCTTTTTATTAGTTTATAATATAAAATACAAAAATACAAAAGCAAGTAATAGGAAAAAGAGGGGAGGGAAAAGGGAAGAGAAAAGTATAGAAAAGAAGGGAAAAAGAAAGAAAAGGCATTGACTTCTGACTCCCTTTGGTGCAGTAGAATAAGATAGTAACATCAAACCTCACCTTTTTATTTTTACATAATAGTATAAACTAGCCATTCCTATAACAACAGATCTATCTAATCAGTAAAACCCAAAATCAAAGTTTCATTTTTTCCACTTCAAGCACAAAGTCCAGAAGTGGTTTCCAAATAGAAACAAAAGCAATTGTGTTCTTTTCTTTTATCAAAGCAATCAATTTAGCCATCTCTGCTAATTCAATCAGCTTTTGCAACCATTCATCCATTGTGGGGATTGAAGCGTCCTTCCATTTTTGTGCATAAAGTAATTTTGCTGTTGTCAACATATATAATATCAAACTTCCAAAAAAGATTTCCAAGTCTTTTTCCCTTACACCCAAAAGAAAGGTTTGATTTTATATTTATATTCACTTTAAGAATCTTCTGTATTAGAATATGAATCCTACTCAAATATTTCTTTGCTTTATCACATGCCCACCATAAGTAATAGAGTCCCTTCTTTACATTTGCATTTCCAGTATTCATTTGAAGTACCTTTATATACTCTTGATAACTTATCTGGTGTTAAATATCAATCATACATCATCTTGCTCAATAGTAGTAACTGTGAGAGGGATCTCGGAGTCCTAGTGGACAATCACCTAAATATGAGCCAGCAGTGTGCTGCAGCTGCCCAAAAAGCCAACACAGTGCTAGGCTGCATTAACAGAGGGATAGAATCAAGATCACGTGAACTGTTAATACCACTTTACAATGCCTTGGTAAGGCCACACTTGGAATACTGCATCCAGTTTTGGTCACCGCAATGTAAAAAAGATGTTGAGACTCTAGAAAAGAGTACAGAGAAGAGCAACAAAGATGATTAGGGGACTGGAGGCTAAAACATATAAGGAACAGTTGGTGGAATTGGGTATATCTAGTTTAATGAAGAGAAGGACGAGGGGGACATGATAGCAGTGTTTCAATATCTCAGGAGCTGCCACAAAGAAGAGGGAGTCAAGCTATTTTCCAAGGCACCTGAAGGCAGGACAAGAAGCAATGGGTGGAAACTAAGCAAGGAGAGAAGCAACCTAGAACTAAGGAGAAACTTCCTGACAGTTAGAACAATTAACCAGTGGAACAACCTGCCTCCAGAAGCAGTGAATGCTCCAACATTGTAGGTTTTTAAGAAGAGACTGGACAGCCATTTGTCCAAAATGGTATAGGGTTTCCTGCCTGAGCAGGGGGTTGGACTAGATGACCTCCAAGGTCCCTTCCAACTTTATTATTATTATTATTATTATTATTATTATTATTATTATTATTATTATTATTATTATTATTATTATTATTTATAAAAATTTAAATTGTGATTTAATGTAAATTTTAATTTTGTTCGCATATTCTCCCATTATTATTATTATTATTATTATTATTATTATTATTATTATATTATATTATATTAATTATATTAATTATATTATATTATATTATATTAATTATATTATTATATTTATTATATTATATTATATTATATTATATTATATTATATTATATTATATTATATTATATTATATTATATTATATTATATTATATTATATTATTATATTATATTATTATATTATATTATATTATATTATATTATATTATTATATTATATTATATTATATTATATTATATTATATTATATTATATTATATTATATTATATTATATTATATTATATTATATTATATTATATTATATTATATTATATTATATTATATTATTATATTATAATATATTATATTATATTATTATATTTATTATATTATATTATATTATCCAAAGTTCCTTGCCCACTGAATCATTAAATGCTTTACATATTCACTTTCCAAATTCAAATTCAATGTTTTATAGTCCTTAGCAATGGTATGTTCATCACTACCACTCTGTAGGATTTCCAATTCATTTTTAACAAAGTCAAACCCATTGCTCTTTTTGTCTCATCTTTCTTTCATTTGTAGATATGTAAACCAGTGGCAGACATGTCCTTGTGATTCTAGTTCTTCCTTAAACTTGAGGATAGGATTACCAAAATTAAAACATATTATTTTACCATAAGTCCACCAGTCCAGCTTTGCCACTATTTCTTTTCTTTAAAAAAACTTTCAAAGAGGCATCTTCATAAAAAAACTTGTTTTATATTTATTCTAAACTCTTAGAATGGCACATCAAACAAAGTGATTGTTGAAATCAACATTTACTTTAACCTTGTCATCCCATAAATAACTGTGCCATACAAATCTGAATTCATTCATGACCTTCTAAATAAATGAAATAGCCTCTTCTCTTTTAGCCAGACTAAACAACAAGAACTGAAATACAGTTTCAAATCTGGTAAACTCAAACCGCCTATTTCCTTAATATCTTGCAGTACTTTATATTTAATTCTTGGTTTTTCCCTTGCCATATAAACTTAGAAATATTCATCTGCCATTGTTTAAATTGAGTATCAGTTGCAAGTACTGGTAACGTCTGAAACAAAAAAAGTATCTTTGGCAAGACATTCATCTTAATTACAGAAATTCTACCCAATAATGATAAAGGCAGTTTATCCCATCTTAATAAGTCCTTTTTAATATCATTCCAGAGAGGCACATAATTATTTTGAAACAGTTTGTATTTGTATTTGACAATACAACCCCCAAATATTTCACCTTTTCCTCAATCCTAAACCAGACTTTTTAGTCAATATATCTCAATCCTGTGAGGTCATATTCTTAATAAACATTGTTGGTATCTATTTGTTTATTTTAAAATCTGTTAAAACCTCAAACTCATTTAACTGCCTCATCAAATATTCTATATTATTTTTAGGTCTTGTAAGAATACAACCAAATCATCAGAGAATGCCCTCAATTTATAAACTTCCTTTTTGATATTTATACCTGTTATTTTCTCATCTTGCCTGATACCTCTGTTCAAAACTTCCAACACCAAAATAAACAAAGGGACATCTTTGTCTTGCACCCTTTTGAATTTCACATGAATTGGTTAAATCACCATTAATAACAATTTTTGCTTGCTGTGATATATAAACAGCTTTGACTCCTTGAATAAAATTCTCTCCAAACTCCATTTCTTCCAGCACTTTAAACATAAAAGTCTAATTTAGATTGTCAAAGGCCTTCTCTGCATCTAAGAATATTAAAGCTATTTTTTTTACTTCTTGTCATCATGTTACTACGCAATTTATTCAATATTTGCCCCAACTCCAATAATTAATTAATTAATATCTACATACCTCATTTTGTAGATCTTGAATAACTTTATATAAAGATGAAACCAAGGAAATCTTGTCTTTCAAATTTTTAGCATAACTTGCTATAGATGTTTCTGGTACTGTCTAACAAAAACCATTTAAGATATACAGTTTAATAGATCATTTCACAGATACCATTCTAATTTTTTTAAAAGTCTGTTAAATATACCACTATATCAAACACTGATCAAGCAGGTACATTCAAAAATCTTACCAGCATTGGCAAGAGGGTAATGGCCCTCTTCTATTACCACTTTTGGAAAGTAGATTAGTATTAATTCTAAAATTCTATATTGTAATCTCTAAGAAAAAATAAGAATATGTATTTTATAATTCACTTGTTCAGTTTCAAATTTTCTTATAAATCAAGACTCATGGATTACCTTGAATTCTGATAACCATTCTTCTACGATCCCTGTATCCACATCCAACATATTGGAATGTATTCTTAATCTTCAGCCTTAAATTGTGGGGCATAAAAAATATGTGTCAATTTTCTAATATGTTTTTCCTACAAACTGGGACTACCCCAGCAAGATTTCTCAATTTTTATTTTTTATTATTTATTATACAGAACTGCACTTGCCCTTTGAATTGATGTAGAAAAGAAAGCAGAACCAGAACAGAAACTGAACTGATAATTTTTCCTTTCAATTCAATAGCAAATAAGAGAGCGGCTCTAAGGGCCAATTCCAAGATTTAGACATTGTAGCCAACGGAACTGAACTGTAGCTATATAGTATTACAATAAAAGCACTCATTCTGTTCCTATACACTACATAAGTTGTGAATGCAACTTCTTTCTCATATTAGATGCTACAATATTATATAGCCAAGTAGGACACACCTAAGTTCACTAATGACCAGTGATTCCTAAGTCTGAGCCAATTTTCTAACAGTTACGTGCACAGAAAGGTAACAATATTTATTCACAAACATAGTCCCTAATGTAATTACTAATGTTAATTAGTAATTACAAATGTAAATTTTATTAATACTATATTAATAATCCGAATCTTAAGCAGTGTATTACCGTATATAATTACATTTCAAGTATTCATTCATTACTAAGAAAATTAGAACTTCTGCTAACAATGCTATATCTATTCTTTTCTATGCATGTCAGTATGTTGAAATGATCACAGGCTGCATTCAAATGCATCTACAAACAGCGTTATGTTATCCACATTCATAAAGTATTAAATTAAATAACATGAGGAATGCTGGTTTAATCTACAATAGTCAAGAATCATGAGAAGTCTGGTAGCCCCTTGTCAGACTAAAAAATTTATTAAAAGTATTATGTTCAGTTTATGAAGCCTCAGACATTTAATAAAATTTTTAGTCTGAAAAGATGCTTCCATACTAGATAAATATGAGGAAGAACAAATTAACAATAGCAGAGTAGGCCCACTCATATTCAGAAGAGACACATTAGGAAAGCAAGAATGAGACTCAAGAATGAGACATCCATACATGTAGCCCTCAACTTATGAAAATTGTTATTATAAGTCACGGCGGTCATTAAGCAAAGCAATTACATGATCACTTTGTTTAATGACCACAATCCTGCTCTCCGAGCTGCAGGAAGGCCTGCACTATAGCACTTCTCCAGCTAACAATGGACTATGTCAGGCCTCTCAGGGTCTCCCTGACCTTCTGAGGCATAATTTCCTACCTTGCTGGGTCTTACACTTTTGGGCTTCTTTCTTCTCCAACAAGTCTTGCTCCGCTTACCTTTTCCAAAAGTTATGTTTCCTAAGGAGAAGCAGCCAATTTGCCACACAACATTCCCATACAGAGGCCACTTAGTGCCATTCCAGAGCAAGCGCATTTTCAGGAGTGGCCACAATTCTCAAATTGAATTTGAAGCTGTTTCTAAAATGGCACCATGTGATTTCTGTATAGGAAGGTTGTGTGGTGCATCAGCTACTTCTTCTTGGAAAAGACAATCTTTGGAAGAAGTAAGTGGAGCGAGATATGATGGGGCAGGAGACACACAAGGATGTGGTGTGAAGTAGCCCAAGGGACTCAGAAAGACAGGATGCGGAGAAGATAGGCAGGTGAGGACAGCCGCAGCATCTCTGTGGTCAGTTGTAAGGACAGGCAGATTGCTAAGCATCAAATATTGTTCAGGTGACTATGGGGGCACTGCAGTGGCTGTAACCTTGGGTACAGATTATGAATCCTTTTGTTCAGGACCATCACAATTTCAGACAATGGTGGAAATGAATGGGCTAAATCAAGGACCACCTGTTATAATTTTCCGCAATTATCTGCTGTTAGACAATTCATACCACTGATATAATTATTTTCAGAATGCAGGTAAGAGAAGCATTCTTCAAATATATATACAATTTCTTGGTTAGTGAGAACAGATGTTGTTTGACCAAAACATATTAACTTGTCTGTACACTGAAACACTGAATTTGGAGTAATCAGATCATCATATATAATCACTGTAATCCATGTTTGCAGAGAACACTTTAAAGAGAAAATATGGGGTCTTGTGCAATAGTCCATACATAAAATAAGTTACTGAAAAATCCACTTCAAAATAACATTAGAATATCAAAATTTCATTAAGCGTCATCAGAATTGCCGAATCTTAGGAGATTTCTGCAGTTAGGTTTCAGAAATTTGTAAAAATTATTTTTAATAAGTTAATAAATGAAGGTCAAGTTTTATGAACATTAAAATACATCTGCTGTATGTTGATGGATGTAGGCATAGAGCTTAACAGGTTTGTGGGACTCTTTTCTCTATTTCTATCAATAGGACGCCAATTAATCATGAGCAGGGATAACATGTTATTTCCACAAATCCAGGGTACATTATCTTGAGCTGTCAAGACCGTACAGAAACGAAGAGGTTTTTTTTCCCTAGAGTGTATTTATAACTACAGAGAACAAGTGACTCATTTAAGAACATTTAACAGTGTAGTCTTCAGAATGCCTTTTCTATTAAGTAACTATTTGATGGAAATTGAAACAATTTAAACTTCCTAAGTATTTTTTTAAAATGTTATTGAGTATTCCCTACTGTCTCTTACTTGAAGCAAAGGCACAGGTTAAAAAGTACAAGGTAATTCTGAAAACTAGAGTGCATTTTTTTCTATCAAGAGAAAAATATTATCAAAAGGACCACATATAACTTGTTTATGAATTACAAACAAGAATTAAAAGCAAAGCTTAAATTTTAAGGTTTAAATTTTAAGTTAAGCATAAGAGAACACCTGTCTGATCTTGATGAATATAAATTACTGGGACCTGATGGGTGACATCCCAGAATTCTGAAGGAACTGCAGATGTTATCTCAGAACCATTGTACCATATCTTTAAAAATCTAGAGCACGAGGGAAGAACCAGAGGATTGGAAAAGAGCTGATGTGGTTCCCATTTTCAAAAAAAGGAGGGGGGAAACAGACCCAGAAAACTAAAGACCAATCAGCCTAACATCAATACCTGGGAAGATACTGGAAAAAATAATCAAAAAACAAATCTATGAACGTCTAAAAACAAAGTTATATCTAGTGGCCAGCACAGGTTTGTTAAAAACATATCATGCCAAATCAATATTATTTCATTCTTTGATAAAGTGACTAAATTAGTAGACCAGCGAAATGCTGTGGACATAGTATATTTAGATTTCAGCAAGGCATTCAACAAAGTAGACCGTAACATTCTTCTTGGTAATCTATAAAAATGTGGGATAGACAGCATCATCACCAGATGGATTTGTAACTGGCTAACAAACCGTACTCAACGAGTAGTCCTTAATGGTACTACATCTAAATGGAGGGAAGTAAGCAGTGTGGTACCACAAGGTTCTGTCTTAGGCCCAGTACTCTTCAATATCTTCATAAATGACCTAGATGAGGGAATATTAGGGGAACTCATCACATTTGCAGATGACACTAATCTGGCAGGATTAGCCTACACACCAGAAGCTCAGGATCCAAAAAGACTTGAGCAATGTGCCCGATCCAACAACATGAATTTTAATATGGAGAAAAGCAAGGTTTTATACTTAGGCAGGAAAAACCAAAGGTACAAGTACAAATTAGATGAAACCTGGCTTAAAACAATAACTGTGAGGGGGACCTTGGAGTCCTAGTGGACAATCACTTAAACATGAGTCAGCAACGTGTGTCAGAAACCAAAAAACATAATACAATCCTTGGTTATATAAACAGAGGCATAGAATCAAAATCACGTGAAGTATTAGTACCACTTTATAAAGCTTTGGTAAGCCCACACCTGGAATACTACATCCAGTTTTGATCACCACATCACAAAAAAGATGTTAAGACTGGGAAAAGTGCAAAGAAGAGCAACTAAGATGACTAAGGGTCTGGAGACAAAACATATGAAAAACAGTTGTAGGAATTGGGTATGGCCAGTCGAGAGAAAAGAAGGACTAAGGATGATATGATAGCAATATTCCTGTATTTGAGGGGCTACCACAAAGAAGAGGGGATAAACTTATTTTCCAAAGCATCAGAAGGCAAGACAAGAAACAATGGATGGAAACTAATCAAGGAGAGAGAAACTTGGAATTAAGGAGAAACTTTATAACAGTGAGGACAATTAACCAGTGGAATAGCTTGCCTTCAGAAGTTGTGGATGCCCCATTGTTGGAGGCTTTTAAGAAGAGACCCAACAACCACTTGTCTAAATGGCATAGGGTCTCTGCTTAAGCAGGGAGTTTGACTAGTAGATCTCCAAGGTCCCTTCCAGCTCTATTCTGAATGATTAACAAGGCTTTCACAATGATCTTATGATGTCAATTTAAATTTTTTGATGTCAATTTTTTTGACATATTTCTTTCATTATACCAAATATGTAAACTAATTCAGAAAATCAGAAAACCTATGCAATTTCATATTTCACACCAGTGGACGTTACTTCATACTACATACTATTCTATACCTAATCAAGATAAATAAATCAATTCTTTCATAAGATCATAAACTAATCTCACAAATTCTAACTTATACATTTCAGAAGAGCACAATTTTTTTTGAAACTTTCTTAAACAGTTGATTTAATTAAAAAAAATGACGTGGTCAACTTCGTGTCACTGTGCATTTTAGAATATATAGCAGAAAGAACTGCAGTCTCTTTTGCTGATATCTTCCTCTTCTGCCACAGTTTGTCTTTAATAATGAGTTGTGGTGTCCTGAGTTTTGGTGTGGTGTGTATTCTCTTTCATGAGACAGGTGGATTTTCTTTTACTGTTTTATTCTGGATATCACCAAACTAATTTTAAAAAAATCTTTTAGGGCCAATCATTGTAACAGTGTTACAAGGGTTTACAGAAAGGCCATCAAGTCTGGGCTACAAAACTCCTGATAACTACTACATGTTTACAGAATTCACTTGGTCCTGGTTTTTTTTCAACCTTGAACCTATAGTTTCAGAAAAACCATAGTTCTCTCTAGATAAAACTA